CTGGAGTCGGTGTCTGGACAAGCCCCGAGGGTGGGCAGCCGGTTGTCCTGGGCGCAGCACACACGTACCAGCTCTGCGTGCCAGGGGAGAAGGGCAGAGCAGGTTTTTGGGTGAGAGAAGTGCTGCCCGCTGGCTGGCGTGGGCAGTGCTCTCTGGGGTGCATAAGGGCCTCATCCATTTCCAACTCGCATCTCAAAGCACTCTGCAGAGGGGATTATTGTTCTTTCTGGTTTAGAGATGAGATGCACCGAGAGCCCCAGGTGCCGCGGCCAACCCATGGCTGTGTCACCCCTGAGGAGACGACCCAACCCCTGATGGGTGCCCCCTGCCCCCCCGTGCGGAGCTCACGCTGCTCTGCCAGCAGCGTTGCCTAAACCACCAGAGACAAACCTCAACCTGACTCTGGCAGGTTGTTTTTCCAGCAATCTTGTTTTGACTACAAAAATAGCAGTGCCAGCACATCGGAGGGGTAATGCAAGAGCGGGAGGAAGTGGGGGAGGGAAGGGGTGGCAGGGCAACGCTGAAATGTTGCTCATGGGTCGAGGAAGGCAGGGAGCAGGCCAGGCCTCCCCAGAACAGCTCGGAGCTGCCAGAGGAGCCTCATGTCCCCACTCCAGCATCCAATTTAGTCACTGATTTAAGAGTGCAATTAACCCCCTTCCCCAAGAGCTCCCGGCAGCTTTTCCATGCCCTGTTACCCACAACAAGGTCCCCATCTTCGGCGAGGACCTCAGAGCCCTGCAGTCCTAGGCTGTGTCTGCACGCGGGGAAGCCTGACGGCCTTCCCAGCTACTTGAAAGGAAGAAAAAAACCCTGGAATTATTGTTGCCCGCGAGAAGATGTGCTCAGACTGCTGCCAAAGCAGGGAGCTGCTGTCAAACAACTGAGGTTTAACAGTGGTGCTTTTTGCTTCCTTTCCACCCTGGTGCCTGTGGTCAGTGTGCAGCAGGAGGTCTTCCCTTCAGCTCGAGCGAGAGCAAAGCCTTTCTGTGGGGCCTTGTGCGGCTGACGATGGCGTTGGGTGCACAGAAAGCCGCGGCTGATGCAGGAAGCCCGGAGTGATTAGAGGCTCGTGCTTAATTTGGTGTCCACTTACTCCGGTGCACGTGGAGGCTGGCTGGCCGCGCAGCGAGGCCACGGAGCGTGCCTTGCAGGATGCACAGCTCGCCGCACCCAGTGCGGC